TCTTTTCTCTTTTTCCTCTCTGGATGATGCTTGGTCATGCTGGCAGGTCCTGTGGAGGTCCTGACCATTAAAAAACAGGGTAAAAGGGGGCTAACAAAGTATGCAGAGAAACAGATGGACTAGTCTGTAACTGCAGCACTACAAAGCGTACCAATAAGCTATATATATATATATATATATATATATATATATATATATATATATAAATATATATATATATATATATATATATATATATGGACAAAAGGGTATACTTACAAGGTGGGGTCCAAATGTCTGAGACCACCCATGTCAATGCTTATATTTTTATACCATTTTTTCTATTTTTTATGCATTCCTGTCTAATTTAAAACAAAGTTTTTCTTTACAGATGATATTATCAGCACAACTATTTGAGTGAAAAGTAGAATATTGGAATGCTTACATGGATTTCTGGATTTCATAGTATTTTTATTATGCCTCACTTTTGCTTTAATGACAGTGTGCACTCAAGCTGGCATGGACTCCATAGGTTTGTGCAAAAGCCTATAATGAGTACATCAAATCTACTGGAGAGTCATCTGAAAATGTGTTTCAACAGAAGGATTTTTTTTTACATCTGACCTTTCTGTACAAAGACCTTAACATGATCCATTAAAGGTCCATGAAATAGCTATGAAAAGACAAAAAGACTCCTATTTGAGAACTATAGTAATAGAAACCTTTATGTTTTTACATGCAAATGAACTGCAACTAGAAAACCTTACTCTGTCATGGAACCCTGACCATTTCTCAGTAATTGCTAAGTGGAGTGAGTCCACAGGTTTGGGTGACGACTGTAAAGTGAACTACACAGTTCAATTATTCTTAGAGGTAAGTCACCTCTCCGTTGTCTGATAAACCAAATTTGGGACTAGAGGTATTTTCCATGTTTTCCATGATGCCAGCAACACGTTCCAAAAAAGTTGGAACGGGGGCATGTTTACCACTGTGTTTCACTACCTCTACTTTTATCAACACTCTGTAAGCGTTTGGGAACTGAGGAGACCACTGAGGAGACTCTCAGTGGTCTTTTTTCCGAGTGTTTAAAAAAAAGAACTTGCCAAATATTACGAATTTCCCATATAAGTAATTCCTGAGTGTACAATCAGCTTACACTGTATGAGTGATTGAAATATTTCCCATGTTGGTAATGTTGTTTTACAGAGAGAAGATGTCACTGAAGCAGAAAAGAGTCCATCATTACTTTTGGAATATGACGCAGCCTGCAAGTACAGAACTCAAGTGCAGACCATTTTCACTCACTATTGTGGGAAAGAGACAGAGTGAGACGAGTGAACCTGTGTATTATGGCACATTCTGCATGTTTTAAAAAATAAAAGTCTGATGTTGTTTATAAACACTGTTTCTGATCTCTGTATTGATGTGGAGACTAAGAAACACAGCTTGTTTTGAATTCATAATGGTTGTGATGTCATAACCATGGACACACTGCAGTTGTAACAGGCAAGAAAAGCTTTTTTAAAGAGGTCTTTCACTGTCATTCATTTATGTCTGTTTCAACTCTAGTAAAGGGTTTTAGCACTTCTGCTAATGTTCATGACAATAAAAAAAGAAACCCCATAAATTAAAACATAAAAAATCATATGCACTGAAAAATAAATTGTTAAACATTTTTATGTATTATTATGCCCAAGAATGTATTACAATGGCATATGAATGTGAAGATCTATGAATATGCAGTATTAAGCATAGTGTAAATGCCCTCTTTTCTAAACTACACCCCCACAGCCCTGCACACTTTCTCTACATTTGAACAGATGGCCTAGAGCAGGAAAAAATTCCCACTGTAACGTTAATAATCAGAACGGTTCTGTCTGTATGTTGCTTTGGCATCAGTCACAGTCTTTATCTTCTAATCTTGCCTCAGTGTAGCGTCAGAGATCTGGAATTGCTGGTTGTTTCCCAATAGAGTCAAACTGCAATGAAAGGTGTTTCTGTAAAACAAGACTGCCCACATCATAAACGCCCCCTAATCTTTCATTGGCTGATACTGTCGGCAAAATGGTAAAAATATGCCAGTATTTTTAATGGTGGTTCGGCTATCCAAGCTACGTTAAGGTGACCAGACTTCTGAAATGAAACCGGGGACATTTCCAGTTCAGTGGTCAATACATTATTAAATTATCGAATGTTTTTATCTACGAACTAAAAAAGGGGGGGCAGTTCCAGTTTCATGTACTTTGACCAGACAGTTCTAGTTTCCAGTACTTTGACCAGACAGTTCCAGTTTCAAGTACTTTGACCAGACAGTTCCAGTTTCATGTACTTTGACCACAGTAACTGCTGTACTGTAATAAACTATGGTGAAGACTGACTGATAAAACTGGGTACTAACTAAGTAACTTCGTAAATTGTGTCAGAAAATCATACAGTAGCCAACCATATGCCATATCTCATGTATGGATGACTGAAAAAGTGATGCGACATTTGTAGATGACATGATAGCCTACATTCAAGTAGACTGTATGCCTATACAAATCAGATTCCTGTAACCTCACACCTGCTTTTAATCCCTGGGTTACTGTGTGTCTTGAAAAGACGTTTGTGGTGATGTTGTGGACTCATTTGACACTTGCTAGCTTCTGGTCAAGTTTTACACAGCAGTGATGTCTAAAATTAGGTGAGCAAGTGGTAGAATAAATCAATAAGCTTATCACTTTTCTAAAACTGAGGCAAACATAAAGGTGGCAGCCATTATAAAATACACAATTTTTCAGGACATAATGTAAGTTATTAATGATCATAATGGACACAAACGAGTATTCTGCCAAGAAATGTAGTTCCTTTAGAGTATGGCATTGTTGTCAAGCAACCATTGACTGTTGAATGAGTAGAAGAACATTTGACACTATATATGGCATAATTTAGTTTTTTGTCGTATAATAATGAACATATCATAACACAGCAGGTTAATGCAGTAATCTTTGCTTAATAAGCACATTTTGGTCACCAAATTATCACTGCGAGTCTTATATAGCACCAATAGAATGGCACCCCTCGTCCCACACTGGGGCGGGATCTCAAATAACTCTGCTCCCTGCACGTAGAAGCTAGAATTTCAAAACTTCCCTAGCACACTATTTAGGCAGTACGAGGTTGTTTGGGATTTAACCTGGGTTTATGCTACTTCTGCCTGAAACATGGACATTCAAAGTGTGTAAGCCTTTCAAGTGGCACTCTTTAGTCTTTTATATTGTTTTACAGTAAATCATATTGTAGGTACTTTAATTCAAGTCTGTGATATTAATGATGATGTTGATCTTTTAGCCTGTTAGCTAATGGACCAGGCTAGTTAGGAAAATAAGCTGTCAGCGCCTCAGTTTAGGCAAAAGAAAGGGTTTTTACTTCATTTGCACACCCAGTGGGCCATGAAAGCAGCATAAGAGTCAAAGTGGCACAGTAATACAGAGTTGTGATGCCGTCATAGGGGCGCGTACATTGTGTATTATACAGCAGCTTCGATAATAGCTCAGCCAATCAGATTTTAGGACCGGCATCTGTTTTATAAGTGGTTACTAGACAGCAGCAGCAGCCCCCTCTGTTGGACAAAACAAGCACAACACAAAACGTCTGTCTGTCTGCTCTGCTGCAAGTCCTCCTTGGTGACCTTATTTAGCAATGAACAGCATTGTTTCATAAATGAATCTACAATCAAGTTTGTCAACAGCTTAGCCTACTGCTCAACTATCGTAACATTAAACATAGGTTAAATTTGATGCTTGCCTGAGAGTTCTGGCTTTCATGTTACTGCAGTAAACACAGACATAGCTGACAGGTTTATTTAGGCTAAGTGGAGAAGTAATGGGGATGTTTTCATTATTATTATATAAGTAATGTATTTCACATGACAAATATCAACTTACTATGAACGCTGATAACCTCTTTCGTGGAGTACTCTGCTCAACTCTGTTCGGATCAGCTGATTGTGATTTGTGGCGTTCCAAACGTGTGTGTTGCCAGTGGGGAATTTCCCCTTTGAAGGACAAACAACGCAACAATAACACTCATAACATGGTTGAAGGATCTGTCTTCCAACTCTCTGGTAGTTATAAACGGTGATAACAATTTATCTGCAGCTAGCTCATATTGCCCAATAATATCAACACGCCGATGAATGTATATTTTAAGGGGAACGCTAACCATTATAACAAACACCATCTAAAACATTACATTTGATTTTTTGAAATGATAGAAAAGATAATTACAGTTGTATGCAAAGGTTTCGCTGCACGTTCTTTTGATTTACTAAGAGAAAATAAGCTTATGTGCTCTACAGAGAAAAAAACACTTCTGCAAATTTAAATGCACAATTACTGTTTATTGGCAGAATTTAACATATTGAAAAAAATAAAACATACATCATAAAATGTGGTCTGCGCAGAAGTTATGGCACATTTTATGTTTATCTTTTCCAAAATGTTTTAAAATAAAAAATTATGCACTAAAATTAACATAAAATGTTTAATGTTTAAGTTTGTTTGCTGTAGACGTTGTGTTATATTATTTTCGCTTAGAAAATCAACAAAATATGTCATTTGACCCGCGGTGTTCAAACGTTTGCATATGAGTGTGAACATTCATAACACTAAAGATAAAAATACAGATCACAAACTTAAAGGGCCTGAGAACAGATCACTTTTCTTCATTAATTTTATTTATTTAGTCATTTGCACATATTCAAGGGCTATTCACTTAACTAATGTTTATATCTGCAGTAGATTTGAGCCCATCTTGAGCTTTGTGGTCTGAGGCCCCTGGCAGTCAGGGCTCCCTGGGCAATGGCTCTAGTGTTCAGTAATTTGGCCATGGCCGACATTGCGGGGTAAGAAGTTGGCATCGTCACTTCAGAGAAACTGTGATCTGTAGAGCTTAAAGGACTTTTTTGACTTTGTTACTACGGGGAGGGGTTGGCTTGAACTTCAAAACGGACATATGCCGACCACAACTTCCCCTTGTATACCTCACACGCTTTCTTCGCGTCAGTTTCCTGAAAGCTCCTGAGTTAGCCGTCCATCGCTGCAGTCTGCGGTTCTGTTTCTCTGTAAGGCCTAAGTTTCCATTATGAAAAAGGCCAGATTCTCCATCTTTTCTCTTCTCCCGCTCTGGATGAGTTTTGGCAGCGTTGGTAAGTTAAAATCCCTTTAGCGTTCTGTTTAGTTGTGTATTGTTTAACACCTGTCTGGAGGTAGATGTTGTGTTATGGTGTGTGAGTGAAGTGACACGAACTCAAACTGAAACATATTATAATTATTCAGTGATGACTGACAATTCAGTGCCACTTTTCAATATCTGGTTTATAAATGTTGAAAACATTTAAAGATTGAATTGATTAATAGTAAAGTATTCTCCCTGTGTACACATGAATGATCATTAACATTCATGTATAGCCACATGTATAAACACACAGAGAATCTATTATTATTAGTCTATATCTTGTATCTTAAACTCACAGTGTTGTATTATTGTGGTAAGGTTTACACTCACTTAAGTCATCTTGTGACTAAATATCTGTCAACTTGAAGCCTTTTCAATAAACAGACCAAAAGGTGTGCGAACAAAGATAAAAAAAAAGACCTTCACAAATCAACAAAATTTTTTTCTCATGGTGCTGTCTTTGCAGGGCATTTTGAGACCTCTCAACCTCACAGATATACTAAAACACATACATTTACAGATATAGTTACAGATTACTGAAGTGAGCTTAAAAGCAGTGGAAAAAGCTTCTGTCCCAGTAAGAGTCAGTAGAATTTAAGAGACAGGTAAAACCCCATGACATGAGCACATCTTATGAACAGCTGAAAACGTTTAACTTTACAGTATGTTTCCACAGTTTAGTTCAGGTCTTGAATTTAACACACCTAGTACTAAATCTAGTCATTAACAGATAAATGTAATGTGATCACCAAAGTCACGCTAGACTGCGGGCGGCCCTCTAGGACCAGAGTTTGGTAACCCTGGTATATCACCTATTACTCACAATGAAAGTTTTCCAGGCTGTCATTTACATATTAACTGTAACAAGCCACATAAGCTATTCAAATCGGGAATTAATATTTAATGCGCCATATCTTCTGTTTGAAAGTATCTGCATTTAATCATAAACTGTTTATTTGCAGCAAATTGGCTAAATCTGGATCTGTGATAGGGTCCAGAGGATCTTTTAAAAAGTCTCATAAAGTCTTGAACAATTTAAAATGAGATGATGAAATGTCTGAAAATGTCTTAATTTTACTATCAGAGACATAGCATTGCAAGATGATACCTGGAGAATCGACTAAGAGATTTTTTTTTTTTCAAAATTTGTCAAAATTTAGTCATTCAGAGTGGTTTAATGTGAAACACTTCATTCTAAAAAATGTACAGACTCAGAACTGTCCACAGTGGTGGTGATAGGAACCAGACGTCTGATGAGCTAAATGCTTCCAAAAGCGCCCTTGAGGAAATTTATTACATGAAATGGTTCTGAAAACACTACCTGGTGTCTGAGACATTGTTTTATAATGTGAGGCAAAATAGTACCCAAAGAAATGGTTTCATTTTCAGATTTACCACTATTTCACTATCAACATTATATATAAAAACTCGTATAGGTTCACTGGTTGTTTTGGACAGTAAATAAAGCAGCTACATATGCGTTGTGGACATCATGATCTCTGGTTCCTATTACCTCCACTGAAAATGAATCACTCTGAATGACTGTTTACATCTCAGTGACTGAACATTTTAAAATTAGTGAAACTCCCCTCTAAACACTTTAGAATCGTTAGCTAATCAAAAACATCCAGTCATCAACAGTTCTGTGGTCAGAAACTGACCACTGATGAACTGCTAAAGGATGGCAAAACTGATATCAAAGTTAAACACACTGAAAAGGCTGTGTAATCATATTCACGATTTGATTTTCAACCAATTTGGGCCCAATTTCCTAAAAGCATCTTAGAGTTAAGATCATCTTAACTGGTAGAGAGAGTGTTCAGTGTGATGCTCGCTCTACAATTTAACAATCATTTTTGCCTTAAGAGGCTTTTGTTTGAGTAAAATAGACATCATAACATGCCAGACAAGACTGTGTGAATTGGAAATGGTTTACTTTTTCATTTGTTGATCTTAAAAAGGTATTAAAAGTATTAAATTTGATTTTCAAATTTGCACAGCATAAAATGTGGTTTGTGCGGCATCTCATATTGAGTCCAGTGAGGAAATGTAACTTTATTATAGATTTCCTGTACGCAACAATTATAAAACAAACACCAACATGCCCTTACAATATGTTTTCATCTCCATATATGAAATTATTTCTTTATTTTTTAAGAACAGCTGTTTGAAATTAATCAAACCTCAGTGACAACTTCGTTTGCATATTTTGGCATGTGAGCTGCCAATAATAAATTAGATAAAGTAAACTTTGGTAGAATATATACAGTTGTATGCAAAAGTCTGAGCGCCCTTGGTCAAAAGACGTTTTGTTGATTTTCTAAGTGAAAATAAATTAACACACCCTCTACAGAGAACACACTTCTGTACATTTCATTACATAATTACTGTAAATCTGCTGAATTTAACTTATTGGGAAAAAATAATAAACAATCAAATGGCCTGTGCAGAAGTTACGGCACATTTTATATTTTATGTTAAATGTTAAATTCAGCAAATAAATAAAAATTGTGCACTAAAATTAATTGGAACATTGCCATATTTAAGGATATTAAATATCTTTTAACTTATTTTCACTTAGAAAAAACAATAAATTGCATCATTGGACCAGAGGTGTTCAAACTTTTTTTAAACTTTTCTTCTTGTTCTTTGCCATTTATTCAAACAATAGTTGCATTCAGAAGTATTATATTTCTAATATTATATGTTTTTTTTTATTTTCTAAGTGAAAATAAGTTGATACATGCTCTACAGAGAACACACTTAAATATGGCATTTTCTGCACACTTTCTTTAATGTACTGGAAGAAACATATTGGAAAAAAATAAAATATAAGATGTGCCATAACTTTTGCACAGGCTACATTTTTTATTTTGTTATTTATTTTTCCCAGTGTGTTAAATTGAGCAAATAAACAGTAATTGTGCATTAAAATGTGCAGACGTGCTCCCTGTAGAGGTTGGTTTACTTATTTATATGTAGAAAATCAAGAACACGTGTAATTGGACCAAAGGTGCCCAAACTTTTGCATACGTCTCTATGAAATATGAACGGTGACGTCGCATGTAATGCAGACTTTGGCCATTCTTTAACATAAACGCCTGCTGCTCCTTCAAAGCTGACACAGGAGTCTCTGTTTGGTTAAACCCGCTTCCAATTCCAACCAGACTGGAGGAGTGACCCGATGGCCTCTGCTTCTTAATGAATAGCATATGCACCACTGTTGGTCTGTTTTGACAGTTAAAAACAGCATGTTGACTTACTTAATCTTTTTTTTTGAATTTCAGAAAGAGTCCTGTTGCTTTTATTCAAATGCAGTTATTCACCAATCTGATGAAATAATTAATGGCTGCTGCAGAAGACAATAGCACCGTTTAAGGGCTATGCACACTTCCCTTAAAGACTATATATATATATATATATATATATATATATGAAGCCTACAGTCAGCACTTTAGAAGTCACATGCTGCCTGGCTCAAGTGGTTAGCTCTGCTCTGCAAAACATGAAGTGACCCATGTGTTTTTAGCCTGTGGTTTAACACCATAACTCAGAGAAGTGCATTTGTCTTTTACAGGTCTTAAACATTAAAGTGGTGACAGCAACTATGTGAAAATATTCTGATTATTCTGAGTATCTGACACACACTAAAAACATATGCGCTCCTTTTCAGCTTGTGGTGTCACTGATGCTGCAGTGACACTGTTTAATTATCTGTACTAAATTTAACAAACAGGAAGAAACTGTCTCACATCTCAAGACCCGAATGGTTTGCACTTCTATATATCAGCTTATTACACTTCCACACGCAAATGGAAGCATTCCTTAAGAGTAATTCATATCCATAACTCGTTATTTTTGGGGCTGGCTGAAGGTGCTCAGGACAGCCACGTTTAAGACAAAGTGATGAATAAAGTGATGGAACCAACTTCAATTAACCTATTACTGATTGTGCATTTCTACAGTTTAAAGACAATTTTGAAAGAATATGTTGTGAAAATGAAATGTAGAGCATTCTAAACTCTTAATACTTTGTGACTGTGATAGCTTGGACAGGAAAGTATCCCAGCTATAACCACAAGGGTCAACCTCAGATTATTAGAGAGATGAGATAGGACTCGCTCATGGTAGGAAACATAATTATCGCACAGTGATTATATCTTCCATGCAAACAAGCTTCATTTCTGCGAACAGCCTTTCAGTGTTACTGCAGCAGAAGAGCTACACAGTACAACACACATACACCACACACTCATTTACATGATTTTTACACTTATTTAGCATTGGCATCGTCTCAATGTCATATTATTATTATTATTATTATTAAGATATATGTTGTTAAATGTGGGCTTTACACATACAAGAAATATTAATACTAGGTCATGATTAATACCACCTTAATTAGAGAAATAATTATTTTATTTGTTTTATTTTATAAATGGATATACATTTTGGAATGAAACTCTTCAATTAATATTATTATTATTATTATTATTATTTTTAGTAGTAGTAGTAGTAGTAGTAGTAGTAGTATTAGTATTAGTATTAATATTAGTATTAGCATTTTAAATAATCATATTTGAGGATAAGGACAAGGCAAGACATTCTTTAACATGGTTGCCTCTTTTTTCCTTTGGAAAGCTGCTTTTGATGAGTCCAAAATCTGCTACATCTTGGATGCCATTCTGTTCATCTATGGAGTCGTTCTAACTGTCCTTTACTGCAGAATGAAGGTGAACACTTTTATTCACTCTCTTTATGCCTTAGTGGTTTAGTATATCATGAGTCTGTTTAGAATATTTTTGGTTCATATTTCATGTCTTTTGTCTTCATTACTTTTTCTCGTTATCCATCATTGAGCACCTATATACCCCTTTTTACTTATCAGAGTGTGAAGAACTGTAGTTAGGTCTATAGGTTAGACATGGAGATCGGCCATGAATATAGATGCTTTATAATAAAAGTTTTATAGGCAAAAACAGTTTCTTCATCTTTAAATAGGCACTTGATATTAACCTTATATTAGACATTGAATATGAACCTCATTCACAGATATTGACTCATTTATACTGATTCAACAACAAAGACTGTTTTCACATTTACAGTTACTGAATGAAAATAAAAAGAGCTCCTCTCACACAAAGGTAAGAGTGTTTTTTTGGCTCAAAGATATTATCTGGGTTCTTCTATTGCTACATGTTTGACATTGTAACAATAGTAGAACCCTTTTGGTGATATTTAGAATGATTTTCAAAAAGGTTCTGTGTAGAACCATATACGACACATTCACCATCAATCTGAAGAACCATTTTACTATGCAAAGAACACTTTAAGCATGCAAATGGCTCCTTGAGTGTTCATAGTTCTATATAGAACCCTTGAAGAACCATCTTTTCTACAGTACTTGTCTTCAGCTCGTGCCTGCGAGCGTATCACGTTTCCTTGTTTTAATAACATTTAGAGTGATGTGTATGAATTATGTTAGAGAAAGACTGAGTGGTGATTTAAGGGCGACATTAAGGATTTACCTCTGTAAAAGTTTCACAACTAGCAGGATGCAATAGTTAAGAAATGGGAAGAACGTACCAGTTAAAATAGGAAATATGCACTGCTCACAGCGAACAAAAGGCACAGCTTTTTCTCGCCTGAGTTTCTGAAGAATTCACTTTCTTACTTTCTTACTTAAATTGAACTTCCTCTTTAGCCTTCAGTTTCTTTTACTGATAAGAAAAGGCACAAGCACTTCAGTCTAGTACTGAGAATTACTGATAAAATTTAATTCCATTTCCTAACATATCACTTCATCATGATATTGATGATATTTCTTCACATTACTAAAGTTAATGAGCCCATTCTTCCTGGTACTCTCCACACTGAACACACTGGTTCTTCAAGGGTTCTTTAGTAAAGGCAATGGTTCTATTTAGAACCATGAGTCCTATAGAACCATTTCATGCTTAAATGGTTCTTTGCATGGTGAAATGTTCTTCAGATTGATGAACAATATGTTTTAAATGGTTTTATGTATAGCACCAAAAAGGGATCTTCTACTGATACAAGCTTGACATGGTAACTATATAACAACCCTTTTTGGTGTTATATAGAACCATTTTCAAAAGATTTCTATACAGAACCACATACAACACATCATCCATCAATCTAGCAAACAATTTCACCATGCATTGAACCATTTAAGCATGAAATGGCTCTATATAGAAGAATTGCCTTTACTGAAGAACCCTTGAAGAATCATCTTTTTTAAGTTTGTACACTAAAAGAACATTTCACAAACCCCACAGACTTTGTTTTGATTTGACTGTTCTGTTCCTCTTCTCTTAAAATAACACCACAGGGAATTACACATATTTGTAAACCGAAGCCAGACAGAAGCCAAATGTACAGAATGGAAAGAAGCTGAAAATAGTTGACACTGTTCAAACCTGGTATCTAAGTCAGTAATGAGAGCTACAAGATAGGTGTGCCTAATAAGATGGCAGCTCAGTGTCTTCTCGCTCAGTGTAGTGTCTTACTACTGTAGATTACTTTACTTTGCTAACATTACTGAGGAACACAAACGCCTTAATGTGTCATAGACACGATCGAGAAGTCCTCCTGTTACCTCCACAAGCCAACATGTTTCCACATCATCCACTGAGCAGATGATAACACATCTTATTTAGAAGACGGCAACCACTTATCTAATGTTAAACTGTTCTGGTCTAGCATTTGCTCATGTACTGATTTAGCCCGCAGTGGATAAAAGAGTTCCCTTTACTTCTGAATGACCAGGGCAGTTTGTTTAATTAAAAAGCCATGTTTATAAATGTATTCTGTCGTCTTTTTTTAAACATTCTTTGCAACATTTATGTATTAAAAAACAGCTGACAGTAAACACCCAGCTCAATTTGAAATTAAAAAATAAAGCATGTCTTGCTGTCAGAGTTTTATCACTCAGCATGATTCGTAGAAAATAGAAAATCAATAAAAACATGGTTGCCTTATGCCAATCATTTATTTTAACTCAATAATAAGCAACAGAATGAACCACCATTAAAGCTCACGGACACTATAGACAAACAATGTATGAAAAGATAGAGAAGGAGAGAAACGGAAATTAATGGAGCATGTGTGTTTAGTTATGTTTAATGTTTAGAGTATGTACATTTATTGTAGCATCTCTACTACTGCTAGTACTAGTACTGCTGCTACTACTCCTGGTACTACTACTACTGTTTCTACAACTACTAACACTAATACTACTACTAATACTAATATTAATGCTAATACTAATACTACTACTATTACTGCTACTCTTCCTCTACTACTACTACTAATACTAATACTACTAATAATAATACTAATAATAATTGTGCATGGAATATGAGCTGTGAAAAGGCCCAAAATCTGTTAAAAAAAACCAGTGCACTGCTGGTGGCAGTAACCAGTGTCCGCCAACTTTGTGGTCAGCGGGCCAACAGTGGCCCCCTGTCCTCTTGCCGTATGGGAGGTTTCATTTGATAATTTTAGTCCGGTTGTTAATTATGAGTTAGTTTGGCTACCTACAGAGAGCCTTGTTCAAAAGTTAATATGATGAGATGGAGCTAAGCATTCTTGCCTAATATCAGCAGCTCAAAAGCAAGTTTTTTGTGGTTTTGAATGAGGTCTATGAAGCAACTGTTGGGTGTGTGAAACGTCAGTTTCAGTTTTTTATCTTTTAACATCTTTTTTAGTATCACATCACCTCTCCACTCCTCTCTTGCTCTTTACACTGCACTTTTCCACACATCTTGTTTTCTGTGTGCCGGAAACACTTTAGAAGAGACACATATAGATTATATCTTCAAGTGTAGTCAAGACTGACTTACAAATTACCTTTAATATCATTAAACATTCATCACATTGATGTCATTAAACATGCCACTGATTGTAATGTGATATGCCGGTAAAACATATTTTCGTTATGCTATATATGAATTAGGTTCAAGTTCACCGCAAGTTTTTTGTCATATCAATGTTGTCAGAACAAAATATTGTCTTTCCATTTTTTTTATTTTGTTTTGTTACATAACTTGAAAACTGCAGCTGCCATTTATACTGTTGTAAAATTTGATGATGAACAGACTAATAGAAATAATCCAAAATAGCTCAATAAAGTCTAGTTACATTAACATACATTGAAAGTTGAGAAGTTGAGTTACTTTTGTGGCAATACAAGGTTGTGTTATGACAGCAATGATACATGAATGTACAGTATAACAAAACATGTTTGGGGAATTTTTGACTGTATAACACAAACAAAATATTTGCAGTATACAAAATGTTTGCCTTTCAGTACAAAAGTTTACCAACTTTAGCATTACAGTACAAAAAGTGTAAAAAAGTAGTATTGCAGTACAAACATTAGCATTAGAGTACAAAAAAGTGCACAAACTTTAGCCTAACAGTGCACAAAGTCAGCTTTACAGTATTCTCTAGTAACAGTGTAGACTGTACAAATGATTGTTGGCAGTTAATGTAAATATTAATTGTACTGTGTAAATTGTTTGTGAGTGATTGCACTGTTCATTCTGAAACAAATTTTTGTTCTATTATATTTTACAGAAAGATGGAGCTGAAGGTGTTTATGAAGTAAGTGTTTCTCTCTTTTACAGTTGCTACTATAGATAGCCTGGCTCAGCAGGCCACTGTCAGCTGGGTTATGGGCTTGAGACTAATCTGACCAGTTGATATGCGTGTGTTAAATCCAGGACACCAGTAACCTGAACACCAGATTCGTTTGTGCTAGACCTATTCAGACTGTGTTCCTAAGAACAGGGCCATTTCTGAACATCTGGGGACTTTTTAAAAATTGACATTTTAAAAATTATGATGAGGGAAAAAAAATTAATAAACACTAAGCTAAACACAATAAAACACTAATTAACTGTATACATATATTTACATACATTTGTGTATTTATATACATACATATTTATATATGTAAATAATACTTGTGGCTCGGGGGCTTTAAGCTACTGCTTAAACTGCTGATAGCAGGAAATGGCTCTGCTCATAGGAGTGACGAGTTATTCTACAGACGTTGTCATGATTTTCATCTGTAGAATTAGCCAGATGTCAGGAACTGGGGTGAACAAAATCTATTTATCTGAATAAAAATGTGCTAGGTGGTTAAAATGCTATTGTGAAAAGCACAAACAATGTCGATTAGATCACATGAACTGAGGTTCTTTGGCTTCTACTTTGCCCTGGTATGAAGCTTCTGACTGAAGAAAACATCTTTATATGGTTCTGCTTAAATGGGTTTCCTAATATGAAATGTGTAATAATAACACTTCTAAGATGACTTATATAAATATTGTATATAGTTACTGCTTACAATCTTGAACACACTGGGGTGTCAATAAATGTTCATATCCCTGAGGAATGCAACTGAGCATATATGTGTGATCACAGTGATACAGATCACGCACATGTGTGGAAATAAACTAAACTGATCATTTCTTATTTTCTTGTATTTCCAAATGTAGATTTGTTTTAGCACATATTTTATTAGAAATAGTTTCATTGAATAGAGACATTCATGGTCATGCAATAAGGCTGCTTTTGCCCTCTGGTCACTCAAGCCTGTTGTTTTCCTTTTATGCTTATCTGGTTGCGTCTGTTTCTTCCACAAGGCCTGTTGTAAATTTCACATTTCCGTCATTTATTCTGCTGCATGGATGGCAGTGTTTTGTTTCAAACTGCTCAAAGCCTTTAAAAGTGAATAAAAGGGTTTGCTAATCTGTGCTGCCAACATCCTGCACAATCACGCCTTGTTAGATGTAGATTTTTTTTGCTAATTTGCTGTTATAGCTTTGCTGCTGCTTGAGGATTTCCTTCTTGTCTTAACAATAAATTAGACCAACAGACTGGCTCTGCATTTCCCTAACTACCAGTAAGGCAAGGTTCACTGCTGTTAAAGCGCCAGCTAACATTTTAACCCTTTCATTTTAACCCTGTCTCCACACTTGTGGACAGTTCTGTGACTTTTTATTAAAAGTGATATTTAGAAAACAAAATCATATTTTCTATGCATTAGTGAAAATTATTCTATTTTCATTCCTTTCTAATTCAGTTCAAGGTTTTTCATTACATATTTTGTTGTCAGCATAAGGATTTGCTTGAAAATGTTTGGAATTTCAACATGAACACTTTTAGTATTTTTTATGTCCCCAATATACTTTAATGGCAGCATGCAGTTGAGCTGGCACAGACTCCACAAGTTTGTGCAAAAATCTTAAACCTGCTTTTAAGATCAGAAAGAGTGGTGTGAGCACGAGCTTCAGTGGAAGAGATAAGTAAAAAAAAAGTAAAAGTAAAAAATCAGACCTTTTTGTACAAAGGCCTCAACATGGTCAATGTCACAAATGTGTCACCTAGAAAAAATGCAATATATAAATGATATAATGTATACAAAATATATAAATAATGAAATATTCATCCATTTATACAGTGAATATTTATGAGTGTGTAAGTGTAATATAGGAGGCATGCAGGTTGATTGCAAGTGCAAAATGGCTTTATTTGGGGCAGTCCAACACTCAAAGTCTATACAGGCAGGGGTCAAACACAGGCAGGCAACATCTGAGGCATGTCCTTAGTCAAAAAAAGGCGAGAGTCAAAACACAGGCACAAACAAAGAAAAAACAGCTCGGCACTCAGTAGATACATCTGAGACTTCCCAAACTAACCTGCAAAACAGAGGCAGTATATGATGGTCTATGTCCATGAAATGTGCATGTGTATGTAGAGGAAGAAAATGGGTGGAGCCAGAGAGAGTCCAAGTAGAGTCTTCCCACAGGGGGAAGACGTTAGGTTAACCCCATAGTTTCTCACATTAACCAAGTGTTCATTTTGTGTGAAGATGGATCTCTGACACAGTTGTGCATGCTTATAGAATCACTCTGAGATTGCAAGACTGTGATTAGTTGCAGCCTATGAGCATTCTGCTTTTAAAGGGCCCACAACATGCAAATCGGAACGGAACTTTCATAAAAGTCTTTGATATAGTATATAAACACTGCTGAATTTTCAAACTATACCGTTCACTCTACACAGTCCAAATATGGAAACTTTGCTGCAAAGATAGCCTGTTTCTATGATGAAAACCAATATTTTTACATATATCCACATGTTCACTCTACACTGTTAGAACTAAAGGTTCTGTGCAGGTACTTTTGTTATTCAACAAGGTACAAACAATGTCAATATTCCCTCAAAGGTACAACCAGGAGAAAAGTACATATTTGTACCTTTCCACAACCTAATGTTCTAAACCAGAACAAAAAAAAAGAGAAAAAAGACAGGGCAGGGTGTGTGGCATCGATACAACTTGAAAAATTTAAATTTTGTGGATTATGATACATTTATGTTCCCTGACTAAAGGTACTGAAATGTACCCTTGAGGGTTCTACCCAAGTGACAAGGTAGGTACTGCCCCAGTGACAGTTTCATACCTTTATTTCTGAGAGAGTACAGCAGTTTAGCCCCGCCCATTCACGCTAAAGTTATAAGGAGCGTTTCAGCCTGGACTGCTTTTTGAGATCGAGACACAATACAGGGCAACCATTTAGAATACAACTCATTTACATATACCAGTCTTAAAGGCGCAGTAACAAAAACAGCATGTTTAATTCTAAGGGATAAACAGAGATTAAAAAAACTGTCATGTAAAAATGAATTATGACTGTTATGACACTTTAAATGAACCTCAGAGATAAAAAAAAAATAATTGCAATAAAAACATAGGATATGGGTTCCTTAACCCACATTAACCACACAATAGACTGAAACATCACCAAAAAACTAAAATCTTTCTAAGTTGGTGAATATATTATTTATTTTTGGAATCACATTAAGCCACTGAGTTTCCACACACATTAAACCTTCACTACCCTGGTTTCCATCATCAGTACAAGTAAATAAAGTAGGGCAAAACAAAAAAAAAGCAGTTAGAACAAAAGCTTACCACTTACAGTTTCATTTCTTTTCTTTTCTGTAGGCACATAGTCTTAACTTGCTTGGAGTCATTTTTTCAGGCACAATGTACGGCCTGTTTGGCCTCTTTGGAAATGTCACTGACACACGCCACAACCTCCATCTCTCTGTCTCTTTCTCAGGGTCTTGCACCACGTACTGAAGACACCTACGAGACCATCCAAATGAACAAGACCAAAGCATAAGGAAATCAGACTTAACCCGTGTGAGATGTGATGCTGTATAATTTTTCTTAGCATGTACTTATATATTAATGTTGTATAGATTCATATAACAATCATTCTCTATCAAAGAGTGCTTTGTAATGATTTATATGTAATATATGTAATGGCCTAATGCTTTGCTTCAGGTTCTTTTTGTGGAAGGTAGTTGTAGTTTGATACTAGATACTTACCTGTGTAAATAGAAGAGAGCAGGACTGGTTGGCACATGAATTGGTTGGTACTATGAGACACTAGGGAGAAAAATGTAGCATAAAAACGATTACCCATTTGACCAACATTTACTCATGTTGTCAAGAGTTCAGAATATTACTATTTGTTCAGGTGGGGATGACGTTTTTGATTTTTCCGTGTTAAAAATTGTTTTAAAGAGAGAAATTGAAAATTTTAAATATTAATTTTAGTTAGTATGTTTAGTTAGTGTGTTAGTAGATGCCTGTTGTCCTTTACTTTATGGGTGAAGTTCATGTTAACTGGACCAAAAGAAATGGTCTAAAATTCCTCTGAAAAAAGTCTGGTTCCATTGACTTACATTAAAAGTAAAGTGTGTTTTTCCTTCTCCTGTAAAGTTCTCATTTTGAAGATACGAGGTTTTGTTCCAACAGTGGCGATATATTACTTTATTTTATTTGCAGCACATATACTGCACTGCTTTTATTACATTTACAAAAAAATAACATAACTTTGAACAAAGCAATTTACGTATTAAATTTTTTTTTATTAAAAACTTTTTTTTTATTAAAAACATTTTTCCTATTTGAAAAAAATATTTTGCTTTTCTTTTGTTTGAACTTAAATTCAATTTAGACAACACATATAATGTCTACAATAAACTGATATATTTTAACACAGGCTAATGGCTTACCTGGAAATGAAAAAGATTTATCAGTTGGTAAAGTGGCCCATTTTTTCCCTTTTTAAAGTTCTTCAAGTTATTCTTCAATACAAATCAATGAAAAAATATGTTTATGTTTTATTGATTCGAAGAGATTATTTGGCTGCCGTTCAATGTTTATATATTTTTGTGGTTTGGAGTTTTGGTTCTCTGATTATTTCTTTTTGTTCCTTCATTCTTTGAAAGTATAGCCTTTTAAACCCTTAAAGTCCCAGGCTTATTAGATACAAAGACTTATTATTCAGTAATGACAGGGACTTCAGTGCAAACTGGTTGAGCTATTCTTAGATTATAGAAGTGTGTAAAAAAACTTCGGGCCCGCTGGAAGGCAGATGGCCTATTAGGGGTTATTGTTGTGCTACCCATCTCCATAACACGTGCCATGTTGAGGCTGGTTGGCATGAGTGCACAACACAAATTCACTAATTCCAGGAAATATGTTTTCATTTTTTAAATGTCTATTATTTAGCTAAGATATTAAGCTTTCATCTGCTGCTAGTTGGGTTATCCTAATGTACGGCATTCCTGGGATATACATCAGAGATTGAAGACCAATCAAGCCTGCTCTCCCCTAATTACCAAGCAAAGAGCTATTGGGCCATCATTTTAAATACATGATAAGCTTTATCCTTAAGTAAGTAAAGTTACACTGATCTGTTTAATATTTCTCACTATTGCTTCTTCTGTCCTGATTATATTCTGTGTATATGTAACTTTCAAGACGTGTATCATGACCTTGTATAGTTCTTTCTTTAAATTAACTATTCACTTTGTTGTATTAAATGTCTTAACCACAAAAGTTGGCAGGCGCTGTCAATTTTATTGAGGTTGCGTTTCCGCCTTTGGCTGCCATGACAACTCACCCCGTCCTCCGACCACACGAGTGTCCGAGTCAGTTCCTGTTCTGTGACCATGTGGGCTGTCTGACAGATATAGCCTAGAGAATTCTACAACCGAAAACACGTACAAATTTCCACCACTCTCATGTGTGCCAATCTGTGTGTGAAAGTGAAAGTATGCGGGGGATGAAATGTGCGAGTCCGTCTTGCTCGGTGGAAGTTGTTTTGGTGCAGTTTGAAAACCAACACCAGAGAGAAGTATTTCTGTAAAAAGGACAAAAAAACAAAAAAAATCTAGGCCTGTTCCTAACGCTGGTAACAGTCGGTAACAGTGTCTGCTCCACAGGAGGAGCAAGCATAATAGAGATGAAGTACATTGGTGGACACTAAATGAAAGAATTAAAACGACAAAAATAAGAACTACTAGCTGAGCAAGAGTGAATAAGTGAAGTAGAAAAGGAAGAGGACTGCAGTAGTGGACCCTGTAAAGAGGCACAGGGTAGGAAGAAGACAATGAGGAAGAGCTCAGAGAAAACAGAAAGAGCCGATCTGTGCTCTGCTTTAAATCCTCCATCAGGCTTGACTTAGCATTGGAATGTTTAAAGGCCTCAGCTGCAAGTTAGCTGAGTGGATGTTGCTAATGGTGAGTGTGAGGAAACTGGCAACTTGGCCATTCAACACTCATTCTTAATAAAGTACGTATACAAGTATATATATATATATATATATATATATATATATATATATATATATATATATTTCTGATCATTTACTTAACAAGGCTTAGTTTCTCCAGAAAGGAGGTCCTTTCACTAATCATCACCAATGTATAACAGGATCCACATCAGTAATGAATAAATAATAATTGACCAGGTGTCACTGGAAAGCTAGAAACTGTAAACTGTAACAGTGATTCAAGTGCAGCTAATGCAGTGTGGTAAACATGTAGTAGATGGTACACTTACAGGACCTTATCTGATCATACTTAACGTCATGTTTGACAACTCTCCGCCCCCATAAGGTAGCAGAATCGTGGGAAAACTGTTTACAGGGTAAACAGGTTAATTTTTTAAAATCACTTCCATCATAAGATATATCTAAATCCTAAATAGAAGTAATAGATATGTACATATGCGTAGTTATTTCTTTCAAAATGCATATGCAATATAAGTAATATTTTTATGTATGTGCTAAATATATTTATGTGCCATTTTAAAATATTTAAATATATGTAAATATATGCACAGATATGCACATATGTAGATATGCAATAGTGTCTTTTTTTTAATATTTATATACGTCTAAATATATGGAAATTTACTACAAACTTGACACATTTTGAAAAAGAAATATGTAAATAAATATATTTCTACTGCTTATGGGAATTATTTTTAAGTAGACAGAAAGATAAATGCAAAAAAATGCAAAAAAAAAAAATCTGTGGTTCATTAGCTCTATTTCTATTTCTTTTTTAAAACACAAAATTCTGATTATTGGCAACCCTAGAAATTCTTATGAACAAACTGTATGTGCTTATTTATATTTCACTTTTCTTTCCATTACATATAGATAACGGGAACTTTGACTGGAAGGAGGCTTTATAGCCAGATGAGCAAAAATAAAGTTTTTTGGCAACAAACATTCCAGATATGTTTGGAATAAAAAGGCATGGTTCTGCAGAAAAAAGAACCTCATCCTCTCTGATAAGTACGGAGCCCCTGAAGGGACGTGGTGTATTTTTTTTTTTTTGGTAACGGGATTTGGTGTTTTTTTTATTATGTGGTGAGCACCCAATACTATTAAGTGAGCACCTGATACTATGTGGTGAGCACCCAATACTATTAAGTGAGCACCCGATACTACGTGGTGAGCACCCAATACTATCAGGTGAGCACCCGATACTATGTGGTGAGCACCCAATAGTTTCAGGTGAGCACCCAATACTATCAGGTGAGCACCCGATACTATTTGGTGCACACCAGAAACTATCAAGTGAGCACCAGATACCATCAGATGAGCACTTGTGTGCGCCATGTTGCAGTTATGCTCTAGCTGAATGGATATTGGCAAATGTATTGAAGTGTACTTTCAGCTACGTCTCAAATATAAAGACATAACATTTATTCTTGCCAGTCGTCATGGATACATTATCACTGAGAGACATTTAAAACGTATTTTAAAGACTAAGGGTCTATTTCGTCGAAAGAACTACAGCAACATAGACGACGTTGTTGTGTTTATTCAACAACAATTGCGCAGTTCAGGACAGCTCCATGGTTACAGGTGGTTGCATGCCAAATGTCAAGAAAATGGATTGCATGTGAAGAGGGAAGACATTCAGCTAATCCTAAAGGCCCTGGATCCAAGAGGAGTTCAGCTTGGAAAAGCCTGGAGACTCCATCGTCGTAACTACTTTGCAAGAGGACCAAACTACATTTGGCATTTTGATTCCTATGACAAACTAAAGCCCTTTGGTATTTGTATCAATGGGTGCATTGATGGATTTTCTAGAAATATCATTTGGTTGAATGCATTCACTACCAGCAGCAATCCAAAAATTGTGGGAGGCTACTACATGGAAGCTGTAGAGAGACTCAGAGGTTGTCCTAGAATAGCTAGAGAAGATCGGGGTACAGAAAATGTACACATCAGGGATTTTCAAAGGTTTCTCTGCCACAACAGAAATGATGGAAACGCTATAGACAGCTACTTGGATGGGGCGAGCACGGCCAATCAAAGAATAGAGACTTGGTGAGGAATCCTAAGAAGAGAATCGATGGAATTCTTTATCTCTTTGTTCACTGATCTGAAGGACAATGGCATGTTTGATGGATGTTTCCTGGATAGAAGTGTTCTTCAGTTTTGTTTCATGAGAATTATCCAGGTAATAATCATGATTTACATATTCATTTGTTCAAAAGCTCATTGCTAACAAGATAATATAATGCCCTAGCAAATTAAATGGCTCTCATCTTACTTGTCATAAATACTATCTACCTATCTATCTACTATATAAAGAAGAACATGTAATAGAAAAACACTGAATGGAGTTTTGTGATAAACATTGCAATGATCTGTAATCAGCAAATCTGAACAACCTTACTGGTTAAGCACCGTCTACTACCACAAAGATAATCTTGTAATTTTAGAATAAAGCACGATTAACACCAATTTTAAGAAAACACACACATGAAACACATGTTGTTTAAGAGTTTTAATGGAGAGGAAAAAGAGCTTAATTTTTAAAACATTACTTAGTCTAGATTAGTTTTGTTCTTTTGGTATATGTAATGTGGAAGGAAAAAAATAGTGATCCAAGGTCATTTTTTTAGCATATTATGCAATTTGGTGCATTTTAGAATATCCCTTCCAAATATTCAAATATCTATATGTTTAGCCATAGGTTTTCTTCTCATAGGCCAGTGTTTCGGACAGCTTTTCAGAAAGAAAGAAAAAATATGACTACATTTATGGTATGTAATTAGTCTGCGTAAAGATCAATCTCTCAATGTCCAAGAGGTGTTCTTTTTTGTTAATTATTTTGCTTTTATATCTATTGCAGGATGAACTAGATGAGACCATGAGAGTATGGAATTCATATGTTATCAGACCATGCAAAAATGACAACGTTCCCAGTGGGCGCCCAAATGTCATGTACTTGATGCCTGAGCTGTACAGCACAGAAAACTTCTTGTCTCTGGCAGACGAAGCAGACCTTCAGCTGTGCAAGAGTGCGTGTGCATTTCGATCAACGGTACCATGTGACCCTGATATGAGCTCTGCAACATTACCATGGCAGAATTGCAGATCACTTTCCCAAATGACTCCTTCCAAGCGCTGGATTTATACATACATTTGAGAAACGAAATAAGAGCCTCCCTGTGACTTTGGTTACAACATTGACATTGAACATGGACAATGATTGCAAAACACGAGTCTTTAATATCATGTAAATAAAACCGACATGTAAACATTACATAGTCATACGATTTTCCAAAAATAAACTGAATCTGTTTTTGAATTCAATTAAATGTTTTAAAACATGAAACAGAAAAGCAACACTTCAAACAGTATGTGCTTATTCTTGAGTATGTGATGAAATAAAATATAGCGGGCCTATCAAAACTCATTTGACTTGACATCCAATGCTCTGCACACTTTAAAATACAATTAAAACCTTGTGCAAAAACTGCAAATATATATAATTGCAAATGAACAATTAACTTCATTTTAAGCTTTGCCATGAGCAGCTCACAGATATACACTGCCTGTAAAACATAACAACCACTAAATTCAACAATGTTCAGAACTTCATTTTTAAGAAAACAAATAGAAAGTGCTAAATAGTAAACCTTTCCTTGAACTTGTAAATACAACCCAAGTATAACCAAATTAAAAGAAGCATTCTGTATAAGAATTTTTAAAACCCTTCTTGGATGAGAGTTTCAAATACATTAAGAAATGATAAAGATATGACCCATTAAAACAATTGCTTGTGTTTCACACTTTCAAAAATCAAGATTACTTTCAGAACAACTTCACATATTTACAGGTAGGGTGGATTAAGTTATGGGATTTCAAGTAGAAGGGTTTAAATTTAATTCAAAAGTCATTTATTCCAATTTCAACTGGTGCTTTGCAGTATATATTTCTAAACAGACATAGTCATGTTTTGCAAGAATTGTGTGCAGTGTGTATATCTACAAAATATCCATTGCAAAGTAATTAGCAGAGAGAATGTTGTCAAATTCCATACGGAATTCAGGATATGAATTATAAGTCCTCTTTGTCAATTTCATTCATATTGCCCTGCAATGCCTTCTCAACACATGCTCGCTCTGCAGACGACAAGTATTTTACAAATGATGACATCAGCAGGCTTTCATCCACTGAATCAATTCCCTGAGTACATGCTAGGACAAACACTGGTGACAGTCTGACTGGAATAATGCCATGGTCC